AGAGACTGTTATTGGTGTGGATAAACGAAAAACAGATAGCAGGAGATACCATCTCTCAAGCGATCATATGTAAAAAGGGTGGGAAATACGTACTATCATACCACGGTCAGCTGTTGCTGCACCACCGTCAGCTGTTGCTGCACCACAGTCAGCTGTTGCTGCACCACAGTCAGCTGCTGCTGCACCAGTGTCAGCTGCTCCTGCACCACGAGCAGCTGCTCCTGCACCACGAGCAGCTGCTCCTGCACCACGGTCAGCTGCTCCTGCACCACGGTCAGCTGCTGCTGCACCACGGTCAGCTGCTGCTGCACCACCGTCAGCTGCTGCTGCACCACCATCAGCTGCTGCTGCACCACTGTCAGCTGCAGCTGCACCACCATCAGCTGCGGCAACACTGTCAGCTGCTGCTGCTGCACCACTGTCAGCTGCTGCTGCACCACAGTCAGCTGGTGCTGCACCACAATCAGCTGTTGCTGAACCACGGTCAGCTGCTGCTGCACCACAGTCAGCTGCTGCTGCACCACAGTCAGCTGATGCTGCACCACAGTCAGCTGCTGCTGCACCACCATCAGCTGTTTCTGACCAACATGACTCGTCCCGAACCTGTCCATCCAGCCTGAGTGCCTCAGCTGCCCTGCCCTCATTGTTTACGAGCCAGGGTGGCCGGTTGCATGCATACATTCGATACATTTTGTATTATTCCATTGTTTATAGTGCTTGTAACTGCTAAATAAGCCACCATGGGCCCAAAGAAAGCTTCTAGTGCCAACCCTGTGGTAAAAAGGGTGAGAAATACATGTATGTACTATCGTACCACGGTCAGCCGTTGCTGCACCACCGTCAGCTGTTGCTGCACCACAGTCGGCTGTTGCTGCACCAGGGTCAGCTGTTGCTGAACCACGGTCAGCAGCTGTTGCCCCACGGTCAGCTGATGCTGCACCACGGTCAGCTGCTGCTGCTGCACCACAGTCAGCTGCTGCTACACCACCGTTAGCTGTTGCTGCACTGCGGTCAGCTGTTGCTGCACCAGTCAGCTGTTGCTGAACCACGGTGAGCTGCTGTTGCTGAACTACGGTGAGCTGCTGCTGCACCACCGTCAGCTGCTGCTGCACCACCGCCATCTGTTGCTGCACCACGGTCAGCTGCTGCTGCACCAAAGTCAGCTGTTGCTGCACCACGGTCAGCTGGTCCTAGTGGCATTAAAAGAAGAAGGGAAGTAACCCCGGAAAAGGACATGCTACCTAAAGTCCTAATGGAAGGGGATTCCCCTTCTAAACATTAACAACTTCCACACTCTCCCCTCCTCCCATCCCATCAATCATCACCAAATCTTCAATGAAGGTAAGTGTCAGATTCTGTGTATTAAAATTAATATTTCATGTGGTAAAAATTTTTTTTTTTTATACTTTGTGGTGTCTTGCACGGATTAATTTGATTTCCATTATTTCTTATGGGGAAAATTAATTCACCTTATGATAATTTGGGCATACATTGAGCTCTCAGGAACGGATTAATATCGTAAGGTGGGGGTCCACTGTACAGTTCACTCATTACTTACCTTAAAATATTTGTTGTCTTAATGTAGGGTCAGAGGTGAGTAAGCGAGATAAAACGAATAATTGAGAGAGAGAGAGAGAGAGAGGAGAGAGAGAGAGAGAAGAAGAGAGAGAGAGAGAATATGAGTAAACAAGAGAGGACACTCACAGAGTTATGTAAACAAACCAGGCGTACGCAAGTTTTGTAAACAAACCAGGCGAACATGTCTGGTTTATGTACAAGTTACATTGTGTACAAGTTGTCTCTACGTCGATATGGTAGAATAAATTAAGAGGAACACTCCCATTCTCATGTAACACCGTTTTTAGAAGAAATGACGCTCTGAGTGACGGCATACAAAAGGAATAATTTTCTACAGTTATGCCCAGTAACACATTTTTCTCTTATGTTGAACTAGAGAAAATGTTATTCTTGCCATCACTCGTACAAGTTGTCTGGCTACCACATCTCATATTTATGATCATTTATTCTACTGTGGGGCGTATTTATCATCTTTATATGTTATGTATAGTGTTTATTATATAATTTTGAAAAAATATCATAGATCGATTAATGAAAATGTGTATACAGTGGACCCCCGGTTAACGATTTTAATCCGTGCAAGAGGGCTCATCGTTATGCGAAATAATCGTTATGCGAATTAATTTTCCCCATAAGAAATAATGGAAATAAAATTAATCCGTGCAAGACGCCCAAAAGTATGAAAAAAAATTTTTTTTACCACATGAAATGTTAATTTTAATACACACAAACTGAAAAAGGCATGCACAATTACATGACACTTACTTTTATTGAAGATCTGGTGATGATTGATGGGATGGGAGGAGGGGAGAGCATTATCTTCTTACTGTTTAGAAGGGGAATCCCCTTCCATTAGGACTTGAGGTAGCAAGTCCTTTTCTGGGGTTACTTCCCTTCTTCTTTTAATGCCACTAGGACCAGCTTCAGAGTCACTGGACCTCTGTCGCACAACAAATCTGTCCATAGAGCTCTGTACCTCCCGTTTCTTCAAGACTTTCCTAAAATGGGCCATAACATTGTCATTGAAATAGTCACAAGCACGGCTTGCAACAGCTGTGTCAGGGTGATTTTCATCTATAAAGGTTTGCAGTTCAAACCACTCTGCACACATTTCCTTAATCTTTGAAGTAGGCACAATGGATTCCACAACTGGCATAGGCTTCTCAGGGTTAGCCCCAAACCCTTCAAAATCTTTCTTAATTTCCATACTAATTCTCACCCTTTTTACCACAGGGTTGGCACTAGAAGCTTTCTTGGGGCCCATGGTCACTTATTTTCCAGAAACACCACCGAAAACACTGTAATAATACGAAATATTCCGAGTGTATGCTTGGATGTTACCGCGGAGGCTGGCTGGTAAACAATGGGACGGCCGGCACATGTGAGGGCACATTGGACGCGTCTCGGACGAAAATCGGTATGCGGGTTTTTAATCGGTATGCGGGGCAAAAATTTTGCGATAAAAGTAATCGTTATGCGGAAAAATCGCTATGCGATGCCATCGTTATGCGGGGGTCCACTGTATTAACGTAATATACGACATTTAATGAGACTCAGTGATTATCATCATTACTAATGTGGCATCACTCGTACAAGTCGTCTGGCTACCACATCTCATATTTATGTTTATTTATTCTACTATGGGGTGTATTTATAATCTTTATATGTTATGTATCACGTTTATTATATAATTTTGAAAAAATATCATAGATGGATTAACCCTTAAGCGGTCCAAATGTATATATACGTTTTTTCAACATCTGAAAGTATGTAAAAAAAATGTAGATCTTTTTTGTTTTACATTTGAAAACGTGTTAAAAAAAACTTTTATGTACATTTTTTTTTTTATAATTGAAAATATGTAAAAAAAAAGTAGATCTACTTTTGGAGCACTACGAATTTGAACGTCGATCTGTTTGGACCGTTTAAGGGTTAATGAAAATGTGTATATTAACGTAATATACGACATTTAATGGGACTCTGTGATTATTATTGAGTATTATCACTACTAATATGGCATCTCGAGACACAAGACACTCTTACTGATTTTAATGTGTACCTGCAAGCCAGCACAGTGTGTAAGTTTATTTAGGTACAAGTATACATTAGTATAATTATCAGAGCACATATAAAATATGAAATAACTTAAAAATACTTGAAATTTTGGAGTTTCCAAACATATTGGAGCGACGTAGTGCTTACGGAGCCCACAGAGAATGTAAACAAACCGGGTGGGGCGCGGTGACAGTATTAGAGTTTTGGTCATAATTTGAAATGACCGTACTGGTGGAACGCCATAAAGCGGGGCTCTACTGTACTTTCATTACATGCTATATCATATCTTGTATACTTATTTATCCTCTTTTTCATAAAATATGTAGTTTAATTAATGGCTCCCCATTTTCATTTACCCTTGGCACCCCAAATTTACCTACTACTCCCTCTACATTTTTACCCACTTTAGCATTGAGATCCCCAACCACAAGTACTCTCTCACTTGGTTCAAAACTCCCCATGCACTCACTCTACATTTCGCAAAATCTCTCTCCTCTATACCTCATACTCCAGGTGCATAAACACTTGCTATAACCCACTTTTTACATCCAACCCTTATTTTACTCCATATAATCCTTGAATTTATACATTTATATTCCTTCTTTTTCTGCCATAACTTATCCTTCAACATTATTGCTACTCCTTCTTTAGCTCTAACTCTATTTGAAACCTCTGACATAATCCCATTTATTTCTCCCCACTGAAGCTCTCCTGCCCCCTTCAGCTTTGTTTCACTTGGGGCCAGGACATCCAGCTTCTTTTCATTCATAACATCCACAATCATCTCTTTCTTATCATTCGCACTACAGCCACGCACATTCAAACATTCCACTTTGATGGTTTTCTTCTTTTTCTTTTTAGTTGGCTGTACGGGAAAAGGAGTTACTAGCCCATTGTTCCTGACATTTTAGTTGACTATTACAACACACATGGTTTATGGAGGAATGAGTCTTATTCCACTTCCCCATGGATATGAAAGGAAAAGTAATAAGAACAAGAACTCTTAAGATAAAATCAAATAAAACTCATTTGAGTGTGTATACATAAATGTGTACAAGCATTTGTAGTGTGACCTAAGTGTAAGTAGACGTAGCAAGACATACCTGAAATCTTGCATGTTTATGAGACAGAAAAAACACCAGCAATCCTACCATAATGTAAAACAAATACAGGCTTCCGTTTTACACTCACCTGGCAGTACGCAGTACCTCCCTGGGCGGCTGCTGTCTACCAACCTACTACCAACATAATTATACCTAATTATGATAACTATAATAGAGACTTGCAAATGTAAAGATAAAAAATTTAGTTTTGAATATCAGGCAACCATTACTGTTGAACTTCACATGATCATGCTTCATACTCACCGGTGTCTACGTAAGCTCGTACAAGATCAGGAAGTTTGGCTTTGAGGAGTGCTGTGGACTGGTTACGAACTTCTAAATTCGTTGTTTGAAGAAGATGTAAACAAAAAGTAATTTCCTGCAAGCGGGAAAGCTTGAGTGCCTTGCACACTCCAGTAACCCACTGTGGCTTGACAAGCTGCAAAAGACAGTTACAACATCAAAACCATAAATGCACTATAGTGAATCATTGCATACTGGGTACCTTTTCTATCCCTCTTTAATGATCTGGATCATATATTCAATCTCAGGTGAATTTTTAAATATTTATGGGGAAGGAATATAGAGAGCAAGCTATTTCGAAAAATACAGTATTTCCACGTTTTAGAATGGTCAAGAGTTGTTACCTGCTTGTGCTGGACTTGTGTATTTACTGAATGGGGAAGGAAGACAATGCAGTGTGTCAATATGACAAAAACACTTAGAGCAAGAACCCTTAACTGTTAAACTGTGTCCAGTGTACTGGCACGCAACTGATGATTAAATTTACAATGTACTAGCTTGCACAATTTTTTTATCTTTCAAGTCTGTCACCTGCCAATATTTTTGACCTCAGCATAATTCTTTGGGTCTTCTACAATTTCTTCATAACATTGAAAAATCTAAGTCCAGGAGGGTCCAAAAACGTGCATCATGGTTAACTATACAAGTGCTGATTGTGTCTGATATACAATGAAATCAGGAGCTGTTGTTCCACCACCACCTGCCCTACCAACAAAGTGTGGAAAATGACTTACTCATTCCAAATTTATTAATATCTCATGATATTAACAGTGGAATTCAGTCACAGAGCACACTAAGCAAATTTAACCCAGGATAACCCAATGAGGTCAAACAAATCGACTTATTTCCATAATCTGATGATTTTACACCTTGAAACAATAGTAATATCATTGGATTTTGTTGTAAATATATGTTTTACAATAGTCTGGAAGGCACACAGGTGTTATGAACGTTTATATAACCCATGATTTAAAGGACACTCAGACAATCCCAGCCCCCCATCAGTCCATTATATCAGGAGTTTACTGAACTGGGTAATTAACCTTTAATTATCTGAACGTTGATCTACGTTTTACTGCTAGCACTCGTGGTGTCAATCAACACACTTTTGTCCGCCTTAAAATTTGGCACAATAGGCATGAGAGGCCTGGACAGGACAGAACGGGCCTGCGCCCTTCACGTGTACAGTATTAAACAATCAGAGATCCCGCAGTACAACATGGGAGCACCAGTTTGTTTCAGCACCAGCTGGGTCAACATTGAGGAAAACCCTGGGGATTCACTCACAGCCCATCGTATCACTCTCTCTTATTCGAGGAAAGTGATACAGAACCAGAGTTTGGTGGATTTGAGATGGATGTGGCCACAAATGACATGAAATACAGACGCTACCCTACTTACGAACATTTGAGTTACGAACATTTGGACATACAAACAGACATCACCTCAAGTTTATTGTACCAAATAAAAAGGTAAAAAGATTTTTATTACAGTATTTATTATTAAAATATTCTTTAGTATTACTGATACTGTACAGTATTGGCTAAGTTTCCAACAAACAATGGCACAGAGAGAGGGAACAATAATAATAATATTAAAAACAATAATAATAATCATAACAATAGAAAAATGGCAAAATAACAACTTACGAACAATTCAAGATACGAACAGCCTTCTGGAACATAACTTGTTCGTAAGTTGGGGGAGTCTGTAGTATAAATATCAATGATAACCCAGATGACCCTCAACTTATCACATCTGGGGGTGGCCAACGTGGGCAGTGTGGCCATGCCAGGCCCTCAGCCCAGCACATCTGAGTAAGCGAAAATTATAATTTTCCCACAGTTTTGGCGATGATAGTAAAAGTGACGTCAGTGACAACAAGATTGATTTTACGCCCTTAAGAGGATTCTATGAGCGAGTGATATACTTTATTCCCCAGAGAAGCATATCTAAAGGTGTCATCACCTACGTTCAGGCAGTGTGCCATATGGAATCCCCAAGAGTTGTGGGAGGTTATGCTTGAGGCAGTGGGTAGAATGAAAGGGGGTAAGGCAGCTAGGTTCATTGGATAAAGATAGAAATGTTAAAAGCAGGAGGGGATATAGTTTTGGAGTGGTTGGTGCTATTATTTAATAAATGTATGGAAGAGGGTAAGGTACCTAGGAATTGGCAGAGAGCAAGCATAGTTCCTTTGTATAAAGGCAAAGGGGATAAAAGAGAGTGAAAAAATTATAGGGGAATAAGTTTGAATTTTAACCTGGTAAAGTTATGGTAAGTTATTTTTGAAAAAATTAAGAGAAGACAGAGGTAGATAGCAATGAACAAGGAGGCTTTGGGAAAAGGAGGGGGTGTGAGACCAAGTTTTTACAGTGACAATATGGGTGAACAGTATTTGATAAGAGTGAGAGGTTTTTTGGCATTTATGGATGATTTGGAAAAGGCGTTTGGAGGGATATTTGTGTATCTCTATCGTATTGCTTCAAAAATGTTTATTCTGAGCACCTCTGCAAAAGCAGTGATATGTGTGGTGTGGTGAAAGTGTTGAATGATGATGAAAAGTATTTTCTTTTTGGGGTTTTTCTTTTTTTTTTTTGGGTCACCCTGCCTGGGGTGGGAGACGACCGACTTGTTGGAAAAAAAAAAAAAAAAAAAAAAATATGACAGGGGGATGGGGGGGCAATGTGGCAATGTTCAGGGTAGGTTAGGAGGTTTTACTGAAAGCAGTGAAGAGTTTTTACAAGGATAGTGAGGCTCAGGGTTTGGTATGTAGGAGAAGGGGGGATTATTTCCCAGTAAAAAAAAAGGCCTTAGACAAGGATTGGGGGTGACCGGGGCAATATATTTATAGAGGGGTTGTGAGAGAAGTGAATGCTAGGGTTTGGCAAGAGGGGTGGGGAAAATTAAAAGATAAAGAATCACACACGGGGTTGGGAGTTGTCACAGCTGCTCTTTGCTGATGACACTGTGCTTGGGAGATTTCTAAAGAGAAGCTGCAGAGGTTGGGGATAAATTTGGGTTTTGGGGTGCAAAAAAAAAAAAATTAAAGGTGAATACGGAAGAGAAGGTTATGAGGAAACAAAAAGATTAGGTGATGAAAGATGAAATCAGATTGGAGGGAAGAGTAGGAGGAGGTAAACGTTTTCGAATTTGGGAGGGGGACGTGCGCGGATGGGTCTATGAAAGATGGGGGTAATCTAGAATTGATGGGGGAAAAAAGAGTGGGGGGCACTTAGAGTCTGTGGAGACAGAGAACTTTGCCCTTTTGGAGGAAAAGGGGGGGAAATGTATAGAGTATAGTTTTTCCAACGCTTTTATAGGGTGTGAAGCATGGGGATGAAGTTGCAGCGGGGAGAAGGCTGGGGGCAGGGGGGGGGTTTCATTTCTGAGGGAAAATGTGGGTGTGAATATAATGCAGAAAAAATTTCGTATTTGGGAAATTTAGGGGGGAGGTGCGGGATTACCAAAACTGTTGCCAGGGGCTGAGGAGGGTTGTTGAGGGGGTTCGGACATTAGAGAAAAATGGAGCGAAACAGAATAACTTCAAGAGTGTATCAGTCTGTGGGAAAGGGAAGGGGGGGTGGGGGTGGGCCTGGGAAGGGTTGGGGGAGGGGGTAAAGGAGGTTTTGTGTGCGAGGGGCTTGGACTTCCAGCAGGCATGCGTGGCGTGTTTGATAGGGGGGAATGGAGACAAAATGGTTTTTAATACTTGACGTGCTGTTGGAGTGTGAGCAAAGTAACATTTATGAAGGGATTCAGGGAAACCGGCAGGCCGGACTTGAGTCCCGGGATGGGAAGTACAGTGCCTGACCTTTAAGGAGGGGGTGTTAATTTTCAGTTTAAAAACGTAGTGTAAAGACCCTTTGGAAGAAGTGATGGAGTGAAGATGGTAAAAATTTTTTTTTTTTCGGGCCACCCTGCCTTTGTGGGAATCGGCCAGTGTGATAATAAATAAAAAATAAAAGAAGAAAATTAAAAGTGAATGAGGATAACAAAAAGATTATGCAACGAAAGACTGGTTATCAGACTGGAGGGAGAGAGTATGGAGGAGGTGAATGTATTCAGATATTAAGGAGTGGATGTGTCAGTAGATGGGTCTATGAAGGATGAAGTGAATCACAGAAATGATGAGGGGAAAAGGGTGAGTGGTGCACTTAGGAGTCTGTGGAGACAAAGAACTCTGCCCGTGGAAGCAAAGAGGGAAATGTATAAGAGTATAGTTGTACCAACACTCATGTGTGGGTGTGAATCATGGGTGATGAATGTTGCAACGAGAAGGCTGGAGGCAGTGGAGATGTCATGTCTGAGGGCAATGTGTGGTGTGAATATAATACAGAGAATTCGTAGTTTGGAAATTAGGAGAAGGTGTGGGTTTACCAAAACTATTATCCAGAGAGCTGAGGAGGGGCTGTTGAGGTGGTTCGGACATGCAGAGAGAATGGAACAAAACAGAATGACTTTAAGAGTGTATAAATCTGTAGTGGAGGGAAGGCAGGGTAGGGGTCGGCCTAGGAAGGGTTGGAGGGCGGGGGTAAAGGAGGTTATGTGTGCGAGGGGCTTGGACTTCCAGCAAGTATGCATGAGCATATTTGATAGGAGTGAATGGAGACAAATGGCTTTTAATACTTGACGTGCTGGAGTGTGAGCAAAGTAACATTTATGAAGGGGTTCAGGGAAACCGGCAGGCCGGACTTGAGTCCTGGAGATGGGAACTACAGTGTCTACACTCTGAAAGAGGGGTGTTAATGTTGCAGTTTTATAACTGTAGTGTAAAGCACCCCTCTGGCAAGACAGTGATGAAGTGAATGATGATGAAAGCTTTTCTTTTTTGGGCCACCCTGCCTTGGTGGGAATCAGCCGATGTGTTAACAAAAAAAAAAAAAAAAAAAAAAAAAAAAACTGATTAGGGGAATATGCCGGGATGGAGGAGAGGGGGTGGCATGGTGCTTGGGCCACATAGCATGCTGGGCGGGCATTCAAATGACCACCCAGCACCCACTCCACGATGTGCTGCTTCCACCACACCCCATTCCACACATCCATCATGCACCATCAGACTGCAAATGGAATTATTAAGAATATACAACACTTGTGCCACATCTTTTCAATTTTGATGCCAGTGGAAGTGGCATCCTC